ATTTTGTCTTGCCTCATCTTTGGTTTTTGTTGGTTGTAATATTGAGATGAAATGTAAATGCAAACTTAACCTTAAACTCAAATAAAAAACAAAGTGATTTGGAAACAAAAAGAAAAATCTAGACTTTTAAAAATCCATTCTTCTTGTTTTAATAGAGGGTGGAGCAAAATCTGATGACCCAGATAATTTCCGTGACTCTGGGATATCTGCAGTGTTTCCTGTTAACGATTAAGCCACTACACAGAGTAATAAATTTTTCAAGAAATTTTAGAAATTTAGAAAAATACACACAATCCTAAATTACTACCTTTTGGTAGGGTAATTCTAGACCAATCCTCTACAAAATATATATTGGTTTCTATAATAGGTTGTTTGCCTAATGAATTTCTAAACTAGTTTATACTTACAAACATATTTAAATCAGATGTACTGTTGCTGAGGGAAAAGGTGGTTTAATGGTGGGTTTTTGTTCTTGTATGAACATTGCAACGCTCAGTTTCAGAGAAACAAATGTTAAATTGATTCTAGATTGAATGATACATTTTTTGGAGGAGGAGAAAAGCAAATCAGAGGTGAGGAAAATCATTGATAATAATGAAACAGATTGCAAGTTATAAGATTTCCCAGTTATTCATTTTAGGAGACGTTGGATTGCAGAATCACTGGCTATCATTTTAGGATCCTTAAAAGATGGAGAAAGTCCTGGAGGACTGAGGAAAGAAAAAAATATATGTCTCCTTTATTTCTAAAGGGACAAAGGGAGACCTGAACAATTAAATATTAGTTTACTTAGCTCCGACGCTGAGGTGAAGATTACAATCTTCAATCAAATCCTCGAAAAAGCCTACTGATGGTGTAGACATCTAAAGGCACACAGGATCCTGGAGAGGAACAGTGTGGCTTTATGAAACTCAGTATGTGTCAGACAATTTTAATTCCCTTCCACGACAGGATGACGGGACTGGCAGCTTGGAGGCAAGCAAGAGAGGCCATTCATCTGTCTTTTACTCGAGTTTTCAATTCTATCATACATGCGAGGCCCAGCAGCCTGCTAGGGAAGTCAGTCAAGCCCTGTGTTTCTCAAGCTGCAAGCCCTGAAGGGTTCATGAGAATCTTTAAATACAAGAATACATTCTTGAATAGAAGATTATCTTTTTAAAAGTATTCTACCTGTTAAAAAAGAAAGAAGAACTAACTTCTGTTTTGCTTTTTAAAAAATTGTAATCTGAAGATCTTCATATAGATTGACTTCAGTTTCTTAAGTCAGTGTTTTTCAAAATGGTTTTGGTCCCCAGATGTATTCTGGAGGCTGTATTACTGGGTCCCAGCGGGGACCAGATGGCAAATTAAACAGGGAACGGAGAAAACTTACTGAAGGGACTGTTTACAAAGGAGTGGGCAGGATTTAGGGAACAACAAGGGGTGGCACAGCTGGGAGCAGCTGTTACCAGCCCTGATCCCAGGGAACTGGAGAGGGGAACAATTACTAGCGCCTCGGGAGGACAGCGATACAGCAAGGGCCACCGACAGCAGCTGCGGCCTCTGGTAGAGGACACAGGTGTCCTGCCATGACCCAGCCTGAGGAAGTGTGCAAACCCATGAAATTGCATGCAGATTTGGGGGTATATGTGCGAATGTGTCTTTTCCTGCAAAACGGGTTCGTAGATTTTTATCAAGTTTTCCCAAAATGAATCTCAAATGTCAAAAGCTGTGTTTTCTAAAGAAGGAAATAAATTCAGACTGACTTTGTTATATTCCTGAAGTTGATAGTTTACATCCCTTATGAGGTATCTACAGGATACAAAGCATTAAGTAATATTCTTACAACTGGATGAACACAAGCTGTGAAAAGTTATTTAGTGTATTTTGGACCACAGATTGAATTTTACTGAGCAATTATTAAACTTCAGCTGTTAACTGTGCTGATGTTTGGGAGTGGAACATGGAATAGAAAAGCTGGTTGTTGGCCGGGTGCGGTGGCTCATGCCTGTAATCCTAGCACTCTGGGAGGCCGAGGTGGGAGGATGGCTCAAGTTCAGGAGTTCGAGACCAGCCTGAGCAAGAGCAAGACCCTGTCTCCACTAAAAATAAAAAAGGTAGCCGGGTGTGGTGGTGCACACCTGCAGTCCCTGCTACTTAGGATGCTAGAGGAGGAAATAAGAGGTTCCAGACAGCATCTCAGCTGTGCCCTGGTGGTACAGAGGACTTTCCTCCCCAAGGTGAGCTGTAATGGGAGGCACAGCCAGGGAGGGCTGTGCTGACAAGGGACTGGATGCTGGTAAAGCCTGGGGTATTATAGTGAGGGTGTGTAAGGGAAATGCTGTGAAAAGGACTCAGTCTTCACTTGACAACTATTATTGAGCACCTAGTATGTGGCAGGCACTGTTTTAGGTGCTTGGGAATAGAGCAATAAATAAAACAGGTACAGTCTGTGGCCTCAAAACCTTATAGTTTAAGCACTAGGCATTAAATAATGACCCAAATCCAACATAATTGCAAACTGTGATGAGTACTTTGAAGAGGCAGTGGAGGGTGCTATGGTAAGCTATGGTCAGGGCTGGAAGGAATCTGGGTTAAGGATCAGGAAGTCTTTCCAGAGGAAGGGAGTTTTGAGTTGGGATTGAAACCATGGCCATGAGTTAAGTGGGGACCCTTTAGGGAGAGTGGACAGCAAAGGGCCCTGGAGTAGGAAGGGACATTGGCATTGAGTCCCAATTATCCCATATGACACCCCTGTATACAGGAAGATCCCCTCTCAGTGGATGTGGCCCAGAGCCAGGGCACACAGCCATTTGAACAGGGTAGGTCTCAGTCACACTGTCCCCTCAGCTGAGCACTCTCTTTGGATGGATCTGCAGGCAGTCCTGTACAAAGGATGGCACCTTTGTAAATTTGTGCCTGAGTAGGACCGAGGAACCCAGGGTAGTGTGCCCAGAGGCAGAGACAACGGGAAGAAGGGAGGCAAGATGAGCTGGACTCCCCGCTGGGCCTGTAGTGAATGCAAGGGTGCCTAGGCTCTGCTGAGGGCTGAGATCTTCCTTCTGGGACTAGTGCGAAGGCTTGGAGCTGGAGAATAGCCCAATCAAGCTTCAAGAATGGGGGAAAAGCCATCAGGACGAGGCTACCTCGGTGATCTGAAGAAGAGATGATGGTGGCCTGGGCCAGGAGGGGTGCAGAGGGGATGGGGAGATACTGAGAGGAATCAACTGATAGAACTCAGTGATTGATGCGATGTGGGCATGAAGGAGAAAGACTCATCACAGTGGTTTCCCAGCTTCTGGCTTGCGCCGCTGACACCATTTATTGAGACCGGAAATTCTAGTGAGGAAAACACATACACAGACGCACTCATGCAGGGGCATGCACGTGAACACATTCCTCGCGGGAGTTGAGGGGAGGATCAACTGTAATGGTTTCATTCTTCTCTCTCTCTCTCTCATAGCCTCCCCTTCTGCCAATAAAAAGGAGAGTAAAGAAGATTCTCCAGGAGCACACAGATCAGAGTTCAAATTGAAGGCTCATAGAAACATTCTGAAGTGGTTTCCACTTGGTCTAAAAAATATGAAAGAAACAAAGTAAAAACCCCACCAGAAAATGACTGTGATGCTATTCTACCTTACTTTTACCTGCGATCTTTGTATTTGATGGTCAATTATTGGGAGACCTTAAAAATTGCACTCCAAGTATCCCTATTGCCAAAAGAAGTTCACAAACCAATGCACCTCTTAGGGGATTGTTTTTTGGTGACAACAAACACCTGCTTAAAAGAGAGAACCATTTCACACACAGGATCAGGCCAATTCAGATTCAACCAGCCTAGGAATTGTTGACTGCCAACAGGAAATCCCGTCCCATGCCTCCATTCTGCCACATGCGACAATAGTTCCAGGATCTAAATAATCTGTATCATGTTGAAATGAAATGTTATTTGAGCCACAACCATATAAATATATGTACACAACAGTACATACTATACAAGTCTGTAAGCCAGAATCCACCCATCCCTCGTCCATTTTTTCCAACTCCCAAGTATGTCAAACTGATAACCTCCAAGGCGGGATCAACTCACAAAGAGGATGGTGCAGGCAGTGAATGCCCCGTGCCCCCCAGAGAAGCAAACAAGGTAGGGGTGCAGGCCGGTCTGGACAAGACCTGCCTCAAAGTCACACAGAAGGATGACTTTAACATCTTAAACTCAATTCTAAATTTCATTGTTACTAATTCTTCAGCCCATTTGGTTAATATTGAAATGAAATAAAAAACACAGTGCCCTCAAAACACATTTCCTTAAAAGAAAAAAACTTGCTAGAAGGTAGTTTGGTCACTTGTGACTTCTGAAGAAAAATGAAGATCTTTCTTTGAATTACTGAAGGTTTTCGTTTGAAAAATAATGTGTAATCCAGAGTTGTTATATTCCGTGATAAAATAACAAACATAGGCATATAGAGACCTCTAATCCTATTCCTCGGTGTGCTGACATCGTGTGGGGGCAAAAATGTCTGGTCATATTTCCCTAAGGGCAACTTTCCCATATAGACCTACATTACACTGACACTTTTTTCTGTAAGTATTTTGAATGTACATAATCAATTTCTGTCACTTGTCCAATACCTAGAAGTGCCTGACAAATTTCTAACATGAATTTCTGGATTGGTTTCAGAAACAAAATGGTAATTGTATCTACAAATGGCTGATCTGTTTTGATGTGAGCTTAATTAATGCTGCATATGAAACTCCAAATGTCACAATCCAGGAGTTTTAAAATTTTAATTATTAGACTGATTTAGTTAACTTATTCTAAAATGAAATTTGAATTTAATTTAATGTGAGTATTAAATTCTTTTGCAATAAATTTCTTTTTTAAGAGGAAAGGATTTCATAAAATCTCTCCATTATGAGTTTAAAATGCGTATGAGAACTATTTGAAGATGCCACAAATGATGTGACTTTCACATTACAACTTGAGCTACGAACTTGCCAGGGAGGGTTGGGAAGTCCAGTTATGACCTCTGGTCATGAAGTCCAAGCTGTTGTTTGATGAAATCGGAGATTAGGAGCTGAGGCTGTTGCTGGTACCATACCAGAACATCATGGGGCAAGTTCATCTGGCCATAGTCAAGTGTGTCAAAAAGTGTCACACAGACCACAGCATCTAGAAGAGCAAGAAACACGATTGGTGAAACGAATGGCTTTATCTTTTCTGTGGAAACATTAGCCGAACCTGCCAACATCCTTAGCCACGTACTTTGTGTTGTTTTCCCTGTAATGTTGATGCAACCTGACTAGCCCTCTAGTCTTCTATATAATTCATGTTTCTGTGGAATCCCACCAACTACTTCATTTAAATTAGTTAATTGAAATTATTATGAATACTCTTCCTTCCTCTTTGCTCCATAATTAGCTAGATTAGGGCTCAGGAAAGCATTGTGTTCAAGATATGAGAAGGAGAGATCTTTGCCATCCAAGATGCACAACCTCCAGCTTTCTATCCTATTTCCAGTTCTTAGAGAAGGCTCTTCTAACTTGAGGATATAGCTGAAGAAGTAGCCATTATTCCTTAGGTAACATTTTACTCCTTGTTGCAATGTTCGAGTTTGCCTGTGACAGCCCTTGCTAAAGAGTAAAGTAAATAGAGAAGGGATATGGAACACTGACCTCAGGAAATACCGATAAAGGTGAGTACTGACCGTCATCAAATTTGAGAAGAAAAAATATGAAACGAAATGCTTAAATATAGGAATCAACTGAGTGTAAGAGCAAATATATTAGCATTTAATTTCTAAAGAATATGAATAAACTCTTATGATAAATAAGAAATCAGGAGAAAAAGAAAAAAAAGTCTTTTTTAAAAAACAAAACTCTCATTTTTGAAAAGTCACTATGAGGGCAATGTCTTTGGTGCCATCAGAAAGAGCCAAAGAGAAAAACTGAGTTCCATATGAGTTCTTCATTGTCAGTTTCACACCAAATCTTTGATTTCAAGGAATGTGGTCACCCACATTTAAATCAGTGCCAACCACTTTGAATTATTAAGAGTTTAATGATCTCCATCTGCATCTGCATCATTTTAAAAATGATTTCAGTGCATATGGGATTAGATGTGTGTACACTAACAAGCTTTGAGAGCATAGAGTTAGAGTTGGGCTTGAATGCAATATTTATTTCTTTGACCTCTCTACTACTTCAGACTTCTTTGTAAGATCTAGATCTGGAAGAAGTATACTGTAATTATAATAGCATGTTCTATCTTTTTCTTTTATTTTTAATTGACAAATAAAAATCATATATATTTATGGAGTACAATGTAGTGTTTTAATATATGTATACATTGTTAAATGATTAAATCAAGCTAATTAATATATCTATCATCTCATATATCTATCACTTTTTGTGGTGAGAACAATTAAAATGTACTCTTTTAGAGATTTTGAAATATATGTTGTTATTAACTATAGTCACCATGTTGTGCAATGGATCTCTAAAACTTATTCCTCCATGTAACTGAAACTTTGTACACTTTGATCAACATCTCCCCATTCCCCATCCTGCTCTCCCACCCTCTGGTAACCACCATTCTACTCTCTACTTCTATGAGTTTGGCTTTTTTAGATTCCACATATAAGTGAGATTATGCTGTATTTGTCTATCCATGCCTGGCTTATTTCACTTAACAAAATGTCCTACAGGTTCATCCATGTTGTTGCAAATAACAAGATTTCCTTCTTTTTAAAGGCTGAGTAGTATTCCATTGTGTATATATATCACATTTTTAAAAATCCATTATCTGTGATTCCATATCTTAGCTACTGTGAATAATACTACAATGAACATGAGAGTGCAAGATCTCTTCAACGTACCGATTTCAGTTCCTTTGGATATATACTCAAAGATGGGATTGCTAAATCCCATGGTAACTCTATCTTTGGTTTTTGAGGAATCTCCATACTGTTTTCCATAATGAATGTACTCGTTTACATTCCCACCAACAGTGTACACAGGTTCCTTTTTCTCCACATCCTTGACAACCCTTGTTATCTTTTGTCTTTTTTGATAATAGCCATGTTGATATGTGTGAAGTGATATCTCATTGTGTTTTAATTTGCATTTCCTTGATGTTTGTGATGTTGAGCATATTTTCATATCTCTGTTGGTATTTGTATGTCTTCTTTTGAAAAATGTCGATTCAGGCCCATTTTTTAATTGGGCTTTTTTTTTTCTTGCTATTGAGTTGTTTGAGTTCTTTATATATTTTAGATATTAACCTTTTATCTGATGTATGGTTTGCAAATATATTCTCCATGTAGTTCTCCAAATATTTCTCCAATCCCTGTAACTTTTTTGTTTGGTTTAGTTATTGTTACATGCTGAGCACTTATGATATCATTTAATGCTTACAACTGTGCAAAACTAATCCCTTGAGGGATTAGTTTTGTCCCCTTTGACAGATGATGAAATGAGGGCTTAAAGAGGTCAACCAAGTGGTCCAGTGTGACACAGCTGGTTGATAGCCAATGAATCCCCAGCTTTCAAAACTACTGAGGAGAGTTCTCTACCCTCCACCCACTCCTCGCCTGAGCTGGCACATAGTGAGCCATTAGGCAAACCTGCCTTGACCCATCAGTCAAAGTGACCCTCTTGTTCAGTGAAGTGAAAAGCAGTGAAAATATTCAACTTGAGCTGAGTCAAATATTTCATCACCTAGGGCCCTATTTATTCAAAACTCACCTAGTTGTAAAGCAGCTTGGCTGAACAGGTAAACAAGCAAATGGAAGAGCTAGAAAGTTCCCCCAGCTTTTCAAGTTAATGATCGGCAAGTCTGTGAAGCCTGACGTGGGTTGGCAGTAGCGGGGAAAAGTTGAAAGTCCTTCTCTAATCCTTCACTTGGCAGGAGGATAAAAGGAAACCAGCATTCTGTACTTTTCATGGAGTGGGAGCCAACTTTACTAAATGTCTTTTCTGGATTTCAAGGGGAATATCAAAGATGGAAAAGAACAGGTCATAGCAATCTCAGTGGTGTTTTCTTGACCCTGGAGAATCTACTAACAAGCAGCATATAATAATCTTGTCACCTAAAATTACTATTTCCATGAGCAATTAAAAGGGACTAATTACCCAAAACAATTTGCTGAAATTAAGCCTGACAGCTTTGCTACCATAATCCTCAGATTAGGCAGGGAGGGTGGCTCCTGGGGAGCAAGGGACACTTAGTGACCGAGCTGTCACCAAGGAGGTTGTCAGCTAACTGACCTGAGGCTGAAATTTTGTGGGGACACACAGATCTGAACATGGAGCTTGATGTCCCCTGAGCTGCACCAGGAACGCCCAGTGAGTCTCAACCCTTTGAGATCATTTGTGGCCCCTTTGAGAATCTCTTAGAAGTTATAACTGGAACCTCTTTTCACACAAAACAATACACGTGTCCCTGCATGTACAAAACATTCATGTATAATTTCAGGGAACCCAGGGGCCCCCAAACCCACTCATGAATCCTTAGGAATCCATGACCCCTATGCACTGCCACTTTAACCCCCCCTCTCTGATTCAGAAGGAACTTCCACAAAGGTTTTCCTATGAACGGTGGACAAAGATAGCAGGGCTGGGCACAAATGCCTGAGTGCACAGAAGAAGCCAAACAGGGCTGGCCTTGGGGAACAGCAATGCAGCCAAGGTTAGCTGCACAGTTCCCAGTCTGGTCTTTCGTTCTGCTCCTCCTCCACCTCCTCCTGCTCCTCTCGTACACCCATGGCCCCTCAGGGGTTTGAGTTTATTAAGCAAACACCACCTTTCTGCCCTGTATGCCTGGTATATAAAGCATGGGAATCGTTTTTAATCAACAACCCAGAGCCTTTGCACCTCCTGTACTTCTGCTGAGACCTTTATCTCAGGCTGCCGGCTCCTTATTAAAAACCAAGTGTGGAGAAATCTATTAATATATTCAAAGGGGCTTGTCAAGGCTAAGGGACATACAAACTATTTGTTCTTGTAGATTGGTGTTTCTCAAAATGTGCTCCACAGGCCACCTACATCAGAATCAGAGATGGTTAATAATTCAGATTCTTAGGCTCTGCCCTTGACATACAAAATCAGAATTGGGAGTGGGAGTTGGGAGAGGGCAGTGAATCTGGATTTAAAAAAAATCTTCCCAGTTAAATTATTTGCACACTAATATTTGAAAACTACTGCTTTAAAGACTTTAACTCTGAATTACATCAAGCTACCACAAATGTGCATACCTGGACCCTGCTTCTTTAGGTGCCCGGGGAAATGCTGAATTAGAAAAATTCATTATACCTATGAAGAATTGTCCTGTATCTTTTATAAAGGTGTTATTAAAACAATGCCCATTATAATATAGCTGATAATTTCACTTAGGTTTAACATTTGGATAAAGTTTTTGTGACAAACCTCAAATGCTTTCCATTATGAGATAATGAGGGCTGTGTAAGTCCAAGTGTTTTCATTTTCAGCTTGACCTCCAGGACACCCGAGTATTTAGGTTTAGTGTTGCACTTCTGGGGTGCCCTCCCTATGTACACCCTTATTCTCTATACCTTTGTTTAAAGGGTATTATTATGCCTTCCTCTTGCATTGAAAGCTGCCGCTAATGCGTTTTCAAATAGAGGAGAGTACAAGTCATCTTTCCATGGATAAATATATTACTTTTTCCACCTTGTGGAATGGTGGAGAGAGTCGTGGTCAGGAGACAGAAGATCTCAGTTCTAGTCTATTTCTCTTTCTGTCTAGCTGCATTTCCTCGGGCAAGTTAATTACACTCTCTAGACCTCATTTCATTCTCTGAGAACGGAGCAGGTTAGATCTGAGGTTTCTCCCAAGTCCACATCCTCAGCATAGGTGCCTCACACCATCTTGTCAGTTCAAGGAGGTGTACCTCCAGGAGGTCCAGTTGCAACCCTGGGGACTTGAGCTCCTACCAGATGCCGGCCCCCCAACCAGAGACGACTCAGGATGGGCAGAGAATAGAGCCTGATGTGCTGGGAGGGGGGGTCACAGGTAGTGCCAGCCACACGAAGAGTGGAATCAGTGATCCTAAAGGACTCTCTAATGTGTGAGTGTGTTGGCAATGGGGAGGGAGGAGTGGGATAGAGGGCAGGAGAGTAGAATTAAAATGCATCAAACAAAACTATAGACCTTGACCTTGATTAAAAATATGTAAAAAAACTTACAAAGCAAAAGGAAGCAAATTATTTTTCAGTACTGTCTTTATAAAAATAATAAGTGAATTACTAACCATTTATATCTGATATTCCAGATACAATGACTGTAAAATACTGGCTATGCATACTACTGAATAAGTATCTACTTAGTGTTTTAGTTGAATCCAACACTAACTCGACTGGCATGTGCTCAGCCGTTTGGGTTTGCTTGCTGAAATAGCGCAACTACCTGCTTACAACATTTAAAATAGAAAAATCTTCATCAACTCTTAATCAGGTGCACATTTTGGTTCACCTGTCCAGAGACTACCCACCTAGCATCTCCACGGGGAGGCTGCTGGCAAGAAGCAGCACAGCGTGGTTGGAAGGGGCCCGAGTCAGATGGAGCTGGGTCCAAATTCCAGCTCAGCTACCATGAGAAGGTGGGAAAGTTATCTGAAGTCTCTGAGCTACGATTTCTTTTTCTCTTGTGAGAGTGAAGGGAGCTGCAATTGGTTGCTTTGTACCTTTGTGTAAAATCCTGATTTATCTCCATTTTAGGGCTAAGAAATACCCAGCTCCAAACTGAATATAATCTTTAATCCTTGTTGTAATATCTTTCTGACTTCATCTGTGATCACCATGCAGTTCCGAGCACTCAATATCCCTCATTGCTGGGAACAGCAGAAGAATATAAAAATGGAATTAAAGTCAAGATTCTGCTCCCTCTTACTGAACTGCACTAAAGTAATATAAAGACTGAATATTTCCCCAAAGTTACCAGTATCTGTCAAAGAAAATAACACTGAATTCTTCTTTTACTCTAAAGAAAAGCCACTGTGAGTGCCGCAAACAACTAAAGACATAGAAGGGGATTTAAGCCGAACCTAATCTTTCTTAGACAAATATTAGGCTTCATATCCTGCCATGCAAGCAAGTGTCAAAAGCCAGCCATCGTCTTTAAAACATGAATACAAATCGAACATACTTATCGCAAGTTCACAGTGCAAAAGGATTATCATCTCTAATCTGAACGTTAGGGGTTTAATTAAAGTAGATTTTGCTTTAAGAGAGGGACAGATATGAGCATATTCTATAATAAAATGATAGATGAATGCATTCATTCAGCATTGCATGGTGCTTCCATTGTACAGGTTTATGGTATTCTGAAGACTAAGCTTTTTGATGTGAAATAATTTGGTGAATTCCATGATTTCCCTTCATCCGAATCTTTATTAAAGCAGTATTGGGTTCCCAATACTCTTTTCCAGAATGATGGGATCAGCATAGCAACAGTGATTTATGGGTTCGATGGCCTTATTCTAGGCAGTTTATCCACCTACTTATCACTTATAAAGAGACCCAGGGGCTGCAGACACAGCAAAGGAATTATTTGTATAGACCTTACTGCAAAGGGAGGCTTTATTAAGGCTCTGCTTCCTCCTACTAGGACAGTTAGGAGGCACTCTTGAGTCTTTTAGACAACACCAAGCCACTAATGTGGCTGGGGAGTGAAGGATTCAGTTTGCTATGGCCATTTGCCATGGCCAAAAAGAGTCTAGTAGCCATTCTTTTCATTCATTCACTCATTCATTCATTCATGTGGCAAATATTTATTGAAAGTGCATATGGGAGACATTCTAAGTGCAGGGGATATAGCAATAACAAACAAGGTCTCTGTTTTTATGGTGCTTATATTCTAATGGAGAGAAATATTAAATACATGCCTTTATGCATTAATATGCACAAAATAATATATAAGTTACTACATGAACAAACCAGAAATATGGTCGATTGGTCGTCAATGTGATGCAGAGAAATGCAGTAGAATGACACAATTGTGAGTGAGTGAGTGAGTTTGCAAGGCTTCTCTGCAGAGGTGAGACTTATGGTGAGATTTGATATTAATTGTAAAGATAATAAGCGGTGGTAATCCATGTGGACCCAAGACCTCCTTGTGCCAGGTAGATACTGAAAGATCTGTTTCTACAATGGTTCAAACACAGTGAGTGATTCCTCTGCGTTAGGTCAGTGGGTCTCCAGAACACCTTTGTTTACATAAAAATTTGTTATTCATACAATGAAGCCATCAGCCGTCCCCTTAATATGAGTTCAGATTGGTTATCCAGTCATCTGGTAGCATTAAAGGGACAGAAAAGATCTCAGAAGGCTGTCTGGAGAGACAGGATGAGTTGGGCCATTACTAATAGTGACAGGGATGGGGGACAGGACTGTGGGCCTTGAGCTGTTGGTGCCAGGTGAAATCTCTTTTCTCACGTTGCTTACCATCAGTTTATCCTCTCTAACTTCCTCTGTTTCAACAGCTGCTTGTGAATGCACTCTCAGCCCTTCCCCACAAGCACACTTTTCTCGCTCACACAAAGTGGGTTATAAATGGCTTAAAATCAAAAGGTGCCAGGTGCCAGCTTCCAAGCTTCAGTGCTGTGGGGGTAGGATGTTATGAAGTGGCGATGAAAGAAGGGAACACGATAGCATTCCATGCCTGCGGTTTCTGTCTGTGTACTTGGTGGCTGATCTTCCAGGGGGCAGCGTACCAGGAATCCACCTTTTAAAACAGTGGTGTCTGGGGGAGATAAAGAACCCAGTCACCAGGAAGACATTCGGATAGAAATACTCCCAAGAACTACAGAATTACAGTTACAGGTGCCACCTTTAGTGTGCATATTGGCAGCCTAGGAGGGGTCTACTGGATGAAAAGGCTGCAGCAGTGGCCTGGAAGAGAGCTATTTGCAGGCTGAAATCAGCTACCAGCAGGCTCAGCAGCAGCAGAAAAAAGAAAATGCAGCAGGGGGCAGGAACTACAGAAAGGTAGAGAGGAAAGTGTCCAGGAGGGACACCTGCAGGTGGCAGAGAGAGCAAGGTCACAAAGATTTGCAGCAAGGACAGAAAAGCTCAAAACAGAATAACGTCTATAAGGTTTCTGCAACACCCTAAAGGCAGAAAGACTCAGGCCCAGGGTTCACAGGCCTAGAACTCTCCTGGCTACCAATCCTGCCTTCCTCTCCATGAAGAACTGATGGTCATCATCAAACTCGCACCAGGGCAGCATGTCAGTAACTCAGCATTTTATGTTCTACTAAATTGGCTCGCAAATTCTGTTTCATTGACAAGACTCAAGCGATTACTTGTTTATATAATAAAGAAATGTGAGGAGGCATTTCCTGGAGCAGAAATACCTGAATCCAGGTGTTCCTGCAGGCTGTGTGCCCACCAACCCGACTGCTGCTCAGGCAAGGCCAAGCCTTCCCACTCTCACTAACTCAGAGAGAAAAGCAGATGCTATTGTTTCTCTGAAAGGGGGTATTCACAATGACCTTCTAAAGAGTACAGAAGTGCATTTGCTGGTCTTCACCCAGATTTTACAAGGATTTGCATGTGCCCATATACTGAGACGTGCGAGCAGTTAAGGATAGTGGTTCTACAACTAATCGCTTTTTATGAACTATAACTTTTCTAAAATGTATTATTAGAAATTACCACATATATTTTGTTTGTAATGTGTATATTAAAATTGATTGACCATAAGAACAAATATTGGAATTCAAATTCCACTTGTGATAAAATAAAGCTTTATCACGCTGTAATTCTTTACTGCTTCTTAGTTGTCTTCTCTGGGCACCAGCACACTACACTCTCCTGGTGTGCTGTCACCTTCACTGGCCACTCCCTCCTCGGTCTCTCCCATCTCCCTGAACTTTTAACATTTAACCAAGGGCATCTTCTCAGCTGTGTCTACACTCTTTCTTTGTCATCTTATCCCCTGCGTGGTTTTAAATGCCATCTATATGCTGTCAAATCATAGTTTTACTTCTCTAGTTCAAACTTTCCACCTAAACTTCAGATTCATAAATTCCCCTGCTTTCTTGGCCTCCATTTGCATGTCTACTCTCCCCAGATTTTCACTTTAACTTTCTCTACCCCAATTATGGTAACTTCATCCTTTCAGCTATGTTCAGGCTATAAATCTGGGAGTCATATTTAATTACTGTCTTTCTCCCCAAATTCACAACAAATTGCCAACAAATCGCCAACAAATCTTGTTGGGCATTGTCTTCACAATGTTTCCAGAATGTGACCACTTCTCACCACCTGCACTGCTACCCCTGCCCATCATCTCTCCCCACACTGCTGCACCCCCCTCTCACGCCTCTCCCCGCTTCTGTGTTCTTCCCAGCTCAGCCACCATGGTGACTCTGTTAAAATGCGGTCAGATCCAGTCACCTCTTTAGTCCCAACCCTCCAGTGGCTTCCTGTTTCACTTCAAATGAAAGTCACATTTCTCACAGTGACCCACACAGTCTGCACATCTTCCCTCTTCTCCTCCTATTGTCCACCACTGTTACCCACCTCAGCCGCTCCAGCACGCCCTGTATGCTCCTGCCTTGAGGCCTTGGATTTGCATTTATTAGAACACTCTTCCCCCACATATGCACGTGGCACCTTCTCCTTCCACCCTTCCCTGACCACGTTAATTAAAATTATGACTCAGGGCCTATTTGAGGAATATTTGGGCTGCATCCTGTCTCAATACATTCAATTGTAATAGACAATAGCGGCCACTACCAGGATAGAAAACTGAAATTGCTGTCGTGTCCTGGCCACGTGACCAACTAGCTTGTGACCTTGGGCAACTTGTTTTTGACCCTTGAGGCTTGGTTTCCTCATTTGCATAATGGGAATAATGTCTTGCCCATTCACAAGACATGAGATAATGTGTATTATAAACAACTGTAAGGCATGCATTCGACTCAAAGTAACATATAGTTGAACTCCTTTTTCTCCTCCTGAGCAGTGAAAATATCTTCATGGAAAAGGAGAATTTGACCCTGGACATTCATGACCAGCTTACCTTTTAGAACACAAAGTCCACACATGGCTGCAAACACTGTAGATTCCCTTTCAATATCCCTGATGCTAGCTTTATGTGCTCTCTTCAAGTAATCTAACTTCTTTTCCCTGGAAAAGTAGTACAGTGCTCCCTCTAATCTACCTTGGCCTGAAAGAGAATGGAGAACATTTAGTGTCTTGATGTCCTACCACAGTGGCAGTGGCATCACCAGGAGGCTTGCTGTTGGCCAAAATGCCCTGTGACCACCTCTAACTCCTGACCCTGCTCCCCAGGTAGGAGCAACTGGGCCATTGGAACCTTTCTGTCTGAGGGCTGTGGAGCGAGGCTGGGGAGTGTCCATAGCTGAGGGCCCCACTTCTGGCGCCAGTAACCAACTGAGTGGCTGCAGTGGCCAGCACTGTGCTCAGGGACATCATGAACGTGGCAGGGGGTGGGGGTCACTGAGACAGCTGCGTTTTGAGGAAAATCTCGGGTTGTTCCTGTGAGTGGGGGATGGCCCAGGCACAGGTGTTGGGGGGAAAAGAAGAGAATTCAAGGCTCAGTGATGCTCCTAAGCCACTTAAAGATCAGATGGTGGTTTGGACATTGCAGCTGTTCACATGATCATCGTGACAGTGGCAGCCGTGCACAAATGGCACACATCCCTCAGGCTGCATGCCACCCCTTAGTGAGCACATTTCCTCTCTGGGCTGTCCCAGTGCTCACTGATCACTTAAATTCACCTGTATCAACCAGTGGGGACAGAAGGAGGGGGAGAAAATCCGAACACCATTATTTCCCTTGGACCCTGTGTGCACCCAGAAACAGACCTCTTCTCCCCTCCCCACTCCTGAGAGGGCCGGGAGTGAAGCAGGTGAGCTGATCAGACTCTGTCACTGTCAAGTATTCACACAATCCTCTTTTGGGCTCATTCCTATCTTTTTCTCCCTTTTCTCTACCTCTTTCATGCTACTTTCACCACCCTGGCAGTCTATTGCTCCTCATTCCTGCTCTTGTCTTCAGAGCCACCTGCCAACGCCTCCAACAGAGTGTTACTCAGGCTGATTCAAATGCAGACATCTCAGAAGCCAAACAGGTCACATTGGGGAGACGGTTCGCCTGGTCTGAAGGGAGCAGCCTCACTGTACCTTCTGCAAGTGTAGACCCTGCCATTTCAAAAAGTCAGAAATCTGGATTTTCCCATGAAACCTCCAGAAATTATAAATGTTGGCAAAATAATTCACATTTTAAAAACTACTGTGCAGGCCAAAGAAAACACTGACCCCAACAAGCTGCCATTTGCAAGTTCTACCTAAACACAGGGTGGGGGACCCTCCAGGTGAGGGGACAGTGAGCCAGGGCCCAGGACTGAGGTTCCCAACCCTGTCAGATCCAACATCCCTCCCATTTTATAACAAACATGTGGTGAAACCACCTTTGCTCAACTGAAATAAAATTTACAGATGATATAATCTATCTCCATACACAATTTTAAAAAGTTCAATATTATACCTTAAGTTTGATCCAAAGGGAAATTAAAGTAATTTATAATGAAACAATAATGGATTTTGAGATTAACAAAATTACACTGCAAGATTTCCAGAATGCCCCAAAGGCCTGGAACCAGCCCTGTGTAGATTCTTTCTCCTGGAATGAGCAGGGCCTGTCCTTGAAGGTCTTTCTCTCCTGGCCTTTCACCCTTGTACAAGAGCTGCTACTTGGCAGTCACCTTCAGTTTGTCTCTAAGCTTGGTCTGGGGACCCTTTACTCATGGCTGAGAGATAAAAGCACCACTCTGAGACCACCTCGTCCTGGTGGGATTTGTTCCCCCAAACATTTCTCCCTGTTTCCTGGTCCCCACTCTTTCCTGGGGATCACACCCCCTCTGAGGTCCAGGTGAATGACAGAAACATAGAATCAGCACATTTCCCTTCTCTTAGAGCCACCAATTTCAGTTAGAGGCATAAACAGAGATAAGATTTCACAAACATCACTAATTGCATTTTAGTATTCAATGTGCACTTAGAGACTAAACCCACTTGCAACATAAATTCATTCTGGGTGTTTTTCGGCTGCTTAATATATCCTTATATTCCTATGCTTCAGTAAGTTCAAAAGGCTATTTCAGTCCCTTTTTTAATCCACAACTATTAGTTTTCTAAAGTGGAGTTTTTAATATAAATTATGGGTTTGACTAACAAAGAGTTGCTGGCATTTTTCTGTTGCCTTCACAGTTTACAAATTATTTTCACCTTCATAAAAATAATAGGCATACATTGTATGTCCAATAAGGGTTGGGAAGTTGGGGATTTCTTTGCTACAGTTGAATAAGTTCTTCAGTCAGGTCCTCGTCAAGTTCAGCACTACGGGTGACAGGTCGTCCAAGATCACCTGTTCAAACCAGAGCTTGAGAAAGGAATCTGCGCTGTATCCATTATTACAACAGACCCAGGTGCGATCCCTGCGATGTGGGAATAAATGAGTGATTACAGAAGAATACCATTTAGAGTTTACTTTTGACACATAGGAGGCAACCTATTCTGACAACATTAATTAACACTCGCTGCTAATGATTCTCCCTATTTTCATCTTTAAAATTATTTTCTTTCCCATATGCAATTAAATACCATTCAGAACAGGCATTTACATTTGTTGTCTTTCCAGATTCACATTTACAATGTGATGGGGTTTAAATTTCAAGACAAACATGATTCTTGGGCATGCAAATTAGTACCAGCCTTCAGGCTCGAATTTGAATAAATTAGGTCAGGAATAAACTAAATGAGCCTGCTAGCAAGTAGCTTTCACAAAGTGACGTGACTTCTTAATATTTAATCTTCTCTGCAACTCCTTGATTACTATAATTTCTTTGCATCTCTATCTGCTTTTTCTTCTGATTCTTGTCACATTCGTTCCCTCCCCTCCCTGACTCCATGTAAATTAGGCCTCTTGGCTGACCCTCCAGTTGCTACAAAGTCTGGCTTCTCAAGGGACGGGGTCTTATTCAAGAAACCATTTTCTGCCCACTGTCATCCTCCCTGCCTGGGATCCCTCTCATCTCCCCGACCCCATTTTTCATCGGACTAACACCTACTCATTCTTCAGGTGTCAGCATAAGTCACTTCCTGCAAAAGGTCTGAACACACGGAGGGGAAAAAAATAAGTGAAAAAGTTAAAAGGCATATTTTTGTCTGCTTTGTCGAAGATTAGATGACAATATGAGGATGGTTTTATATCTGGGTTCTCAGTCTTGTTCCAAAGGTCTATATCTCTGTTCTTGTGCCAGTACTATGCTGTTTTGGTTACTATAGCCTTGTAGTAA